ATTGCTGATACTGATTCTGCTCTTCAGTCTCTGTCCCATGTGGATATGGGCAGTCTTGCTGACACTTGGGATGTACATGTTACTGCTGATGAGTACTGGACTCTCACTTTCCCTGTTTAGTTTTACGATAAGGATGGGGGCAGTAGATGCTTCTGAAAAATCAACAACATTGGCCATATGCACATGATGCAACGACCCAAGAGCAGAATAGACATTGACATTGTTAAGCTTTGCCAGCGCTACTAACTGTAGCATTGAAAAGATGGGAAGCTGTGTACGGCTGTTTCTACAGCTGCATAGATTTACAAATCTGATCGCTTCTATTTAGTTTAATCTCTTTCTGCTGTGATTATTTATGCATTTGAAATTTATATATAAAATAGCTTGTATATTGTCATGCTTTTACAAATGAAGATAATATATAATTTCTGTTGACTGTACTTATTGTTTGTTTAGTCATTTATTATAAAAATAATGGTAAAGTACCTCTGCTTAATTAGGTATCACACCTTGAGGAAGTACGGGGAGATGAAGGTGTATCTCCGCACATTCTTAACCTTGGCAGTAGATGGAGATGTTATGTCTTGGCCACTTTACTTGGGAAAGTAACTCTGCATACTTGTTTAATGGGCATATGCAGTAGCGTAGTTGGTTGAGGCACTATGCTACAAGCTGTAAAGTCACGTGTTCAAGTCCCGATGAGGTCATTTGATTTGTTCAGTTGACCTAATCCTTCCAGCTGCACTGTAGCCCTGGGGTCAACTCAGCCTCTATCAGAAATGAGTACCAGGAATATTCTTGGGGTTAAAGGGTGGCTGTCGTGTAGGGCTGACAACCTTGCTGCCATCTATGAGCCAATTGTCTATAAAATATGGGAACCTCAACATCTCACAACCCTATGGGCCCCCACGGCCTGTTACAGGGATACCTTTACTTTTTTACCTGTTGAATAGCAGGTTCGATTGGCCCCAGGACTTGTGGCAAAGAAAAAAATCTCTGGGCCTGCTAGGAATTAAATCTTTGTCATCTAGCCGATGGTCAGATTAATACAGGGTGTCCCAGGAGGAATGTGCCAAACTTCGGGAGGGTGTTCCTTATGTTAAAGTATGCCGATATAACCCAAAACACCTATGTCCAAAGTTGAACAGTTACGGAGATAATGGCCAGAGAAGTGTCAAACTTTGACCGGGGTTACACACTTGTTGATTACAAAATACATATTAAAACTGGCAGGAATATGTGGATTCTGTAATGTTAATAATGTACGTAACATCAAACCAACTTGTGAGTGACGGAAAGCCATAAAATTGAAGTACAAAATACTCGCTCGCCATGTCATAATTGTCCTTAGGTTTCCAAGCAGTATACATAACACATGACTGGCGAGCGATGACGTAACGTGCTGACTGCGCGTTCTGGTATGAGCCAACTACATAAGCACGGCTAGGGAGTATCATCGCACTCAAGGACAAACATAGATAAGGGCTCTCAGCTGAGAGGTACAGCGAGGTACAGTGCTTGGACCTGCCAGAAGACCACACTTTTCTTGGGCCATTATCTTCGTAACCGTTCAACTTTGGACATAGGTGTTTTGGGTTATATCGGCATACTTTAACATAAGGAACACCCTCCCGAAGTTTGGCACATTCCTCCTGGGACACCCTGTATACTGACTGTGCTGCCCCCAGCTTCTGTTCAGTTATTATATAGTGTATTGTAATTGTATGTTCTTTCCAAAGCAGGAGAATGATTTTTTCCCTGTGATTGAAAGCTGCGAGTAGTATGATAGCACATATGCCCACCCACCCACATCTGGAGAATGTTATGTTCTTGGCCTCTACCATTTTACCTGTCTGGTTGATGCAACCAATGGTTATGCTGCTACTTTTAACAACTTTCTGGACACATCTGTCTTCCTCATGAGAAGGAGGATGCATATAGAGACATCTTTAATACTAAGGAAGTCTTGTTCAATTCTGTCATTTCTATCTTCTGATTGTGTATGGGTTTGTGACAATGGTTAATTCATTGCACAGCAGTTACAGTGGTTATTGTCCACTGTCTGAGGTATATCAAATATATATAAAAAAGTATAACTCTCCTGTCCAGGTAATTCACTACACAGAAGTAATACAACTTATGACCAGGTCATGATCGAATGTGTTGTGTATAACTTTCATGTCGGCATGAAGACCGAATAGTCAGAATGAGGCGTTCTTGGTTCTCCTCAGACCCTCCAAGCAAATGCTGAAGGAGTAGAAACATGTCTAGAAATAACAATGTCTTCCAAATTTTGAAGGGCTAAGTTTTAAAAGTCATATCGATGTTACAGTTTTGCCTTATGGTGTGCAAACATGGGGCTTATTTTGTAATCACTTTTCATTGCTCATATGATTGACATGCCCCATAAATTCTTGTCATTTATTTGCTGCCACTCAAATATCCAGGCCACATAACCATACAAACACTTATGACGGCACATCATTAGATCCCTACTTGCTTCACCTTTTTGTACAAAGGAATTCTATTGAGCAAATATTAACAACTCTGTTACCAGGAAATGAACCAACATTCTTATGCCATTGCACCATTATATGGAAAGCTGATATCAGTTGGCTACCACAGAATGCAGTTTGTGTCTGTGATTTCCCCTGTTCACGTTCACATGAAGCACTTCTAAAAACTCAGCACAAAAACCAAGAAGTGGTACATATTAATAATGGATATGACATTACAGTGTTCAGCGGCTGATTTTAATTAATCATCTGTAATTCCCCCCCCCCATTCATAGCACATAATCTTTTAATTGCAGCAGAAAAACTGAAGTGGTGATAGGTGTTCCTAATGAATATGTGTTGTAATGTTCAATGGCGGACTGGTAGCTGTTATGCTACAGTCAGATGCAACTGATCACTACCAGCACTTATAATGGAGTTGCCTCCAGTGCGGCAGCGGTCACCTGTCCACTGTCCACTGGCCGTCCTGTTTAATGCTTGCCATGGATTGGAACGCTAGAATCGGCAGTAAGGTTCCGAATGCCATGGACATGGCTTTTGAACTGTAGTACCCTTTAATTACAGAATTTATACATCTACATTCTGCAAACTGTGTAATGCACACATGGTTCAGAGCAGTACTTGGACCTCTGCAGTAATAATAACCATTAATGATTCTTTCTGCCTCCTTGAGGACTATCACCTTATCACGGAAATGAAATATAGTGCCCAGTGCTGGCAGGAGCGTAAGCTCCTGGTAGAACCATACATGCCAGACAGGTCAAAGGGTGTAGACCACACGAAGTGTAGTTTCTGGACCCCCTAGTTGGGGGTGGGGCAAGGGGCTAACTGTCGCACCCTGGAAAAAATTACTATTACGAAACAATGGAGGAGGCCAAGGCCCACACAGGCAGTATACGCCAGTAAATAATAATAATAATAATAATAATAATTCTCTCTGCAATCAACAAGATCACTCACAAGATTTAGTTGTAGTGGAACTCAGTATATTTTATTTAACACTCCACCCTGTCATAGGTGTATCACTACCCTGGTCCCCTTTGGTAACTCATAATTGTGTTACCCTTATTTGTCCATGATCTACACTAGCCGTTACTTCTGTGTCCACTCACTTGAGACAAGTGTGAGCGCAGTCAGAATCGAACCCAGGTATCTGGAATCCATGGCTACACATTCGGAAGACGATTCCCACAAGTCCCCAAGCACTCTCCTTAGCTGGATCTTCCTGTGGTATTTCTTTGTCCAGCCGGTGGAATGTGGTCGAAATGATGAAACGACCCTTCCCCGTAATGTCCAAAGTACCGCCACATTTGCAACCCAGGCTGAGTTACTCAGCATTTTCTGCATGCATGGCAGTGCAGGCAGCAGCTATTACATTCCTTACGCATTCGTGGGAGTATGTAAAAGAAGCATATATGTAGTGTCAATTCTTCTCTGACAGTGTACCAGTTACCATTCTACAATTTCAGTGTTGCACTCATTATAAAATTTCCAGTTTTTAAAAGAAAGGAAAGCGTGGGTGGTGTCTGTCCATATTTACACAAAGTAATTGTAGAATTGGCCAGCCACGGTAGCCGAGTGGTCTAAGGCATGTACTGTCTTCGCTCGCTTGGAAACCGGGAGCGTGGGTTCAAATCCCACTCAGGGCATGGATGTTTAGTTTGTGTGTGTGCGTTTTTCTGTGTTTGTGTACAGGTAGAGGCCTTGCGACGAGCTGATCACCCGCCCAAGGAGTCCTACCGAATGTCTTAAGATCTAGAAAAACCGAAGTGAACGGAGAAGTTCATGGAGGTGGGCCTAGGCCCACTGGGGCTGTAGTGCCAATAAAAAAAAATTGTAAAATTACAGAAGAAAAAGCGAAGAGACTGTATGCATTACTAATGAATACAATATTAAAATACTCAGTGGCGGATTTTTACCAATTTGCATAATTCTTTCTAGTTCATTCCATCAGCAAATATATCAAATGCATGTATAAATGAAACATAATCAGCAACTTGGGCCAGACCACTTTTGGATCTATAAGCCCCTACCTTGACAATTATGTTGCATAGGTGTCTTATTTTGAATATTTCCTGGGATTTCTGGTTTCTCACCGGGGTGACAATTAAGAGGGGAATGGATATAAGAGTTCACGCCGATGACTTCATATCCCAGCTCCAGGAGGGCCACTGTAATGTCTTCCGACGAGGTATTACTTGGCAGATGCCTGATGACAGCTTTTACAGGTTTGTCTCCTTTGGTGTAGAAGGTAAAGAATGGGAGACCTTTTTTGACTTATAGTCTTGCCACGCTGTTGGTTGGGATCCGGGTACCGGATGGAGTGTTCCGGTTGAACTCCCCGGTCACAGCAGTTTTCAGGTCTTTCTGGAGGCCAGGGAGGTTAGCCTCAGACGCGAAAACGATTTAGGTGGGCGGGGGGGGGGCGTCTGCCTTTGTCAACATCGTCAACATTGTCTGCTGATCGTCCGTCGTCACTTTTATCCTACGGCGACGGAGGCCCACGTCGCCCACGTCTTTGTACTTTTGCCGCTAGGCGGCACGCGGAACAGTTGGCTATGGGACTGCGGCCATGCGTGTTAGTTGTGCAGATTTGTGTGGGTGTTCAGAGGTTAAAGAGCAAAGAGGTTGAAGAGGCTTGTTAGTTACAAGTTACAAATTGGCACGATAGAAATGATTACGTTAATGCGTTGCTGTTACAAGAAAACAGCCGAAGTAAAAGTCAAAATATTCTGCGAGAGGGTAAGCAGATCGTATGAGGAAAATGTAATGGAGGTTGTGTGAACAGATTTTATGAGCTGTATTTCTGACTTGAATGTGATCAGACAAATTGGAATATAAATTAAAAACAAACTTTTTTTTTTATTTGTTTCATTCTAGTCCGTCACACTAACAATTATAAATACAAACCACTCCGTCCAATGTGACATATAAGTGACATATACTCAATCTGAATGAATGAGCATTCATCCCTTCTTAGGGAAGGTAGTTCTTGTCGCCCCTTCCCAGGAAAGACAGGAGTCACAAGTTCGGCCCCATCAAGAAAAACGAAAGGTCAAGGGACACGAACCTATTCAGTTAAAGAATTTTAACTTAAATAACAAAAAGTTTTTAAAAAACTTTAATGCATCAAGGACAGTTGCTGTGGTTTTAAGAAATTTGGATTTTGTATAAAGTGTATATTACAAATATTGTATATTTATGTATTTTAAAAATCAAAACACCCAATGTAATAGTAGTTTCTAAAAGTATTGATGTTCCCTCTGATGATGGTCTATAGGGACCGAAACATGTTATGATACTAAGAAGTGATGTAGTAAAATCTTCAACAGTCACACTGGATGGAATTGTTTTATCATTTGTAATACCGTTAGTGTGACAGACCAGAATGAAACAACACAAATTTCTACTCCTAAATTCATTTTACTCATGGGAGGAATATTTTAACCACAATATTGATTAAAGATCCTGGTTAATTACATGCTTAATGAATGCCAGTATATTTCATTTTTTATTATTGTAGTGTTGTTCTTTGATAGTCTGACACATGCTTGAAGTCACACACATTGCATAGTGGTTGTCTTGACAATATGTGTTTGAGTGTGTTTGCCTAATTGTACACAGGCAAGCCGCATAATCTGCTTTGATGTCAGTGTTTATTTTAGTTTACCAGCTAAGTAAGGCTCAGTGAGTATAAATGAAGGCAGGAATGAATGAATAAGTATATTATAGCCAGTGAGATAAAATAATTGTATACTAGTAATTAAATCATGCTCAATGAAAGACTATTTTTATCTGTGTTGTCTTCCCGCTTGCTGTTTTTGACTGTATTTTACTGTATTCGCAATTCTCCATTATGGGGATATATGGATCTTTGAATATATGAATGGAGATTGCTTGCTTGCTTTTACTTTTACTTACATACTTTGTAAGCTGTGCCATAGCTCAAGTGGTTAATTGTTGGCTTCCCACTGTGGCGGCCCAGGTTCTATCCTGGGTCTAGTCAAGTGGGATTTGTGGTGGACAAAATGGCGCTGGGGCGAGTTTTCTCCGAGTACTTCGGTTTCCTCTGCCAATCTTCATTCCACCAAATTCTCCGTCATCATAATCACCCGGGGCAGGCTACAATAGGCCAATCAGTGGTCGCTGTGCCGAGTGGACCCAGTTGAACTCCACCCCCCACTAAGCAAATACATACTTTATAACCTTTAACAATGTATGCATTGACAGTTTCTGACAAAAGCCTCAAATTATGGTGCACAACTATAATTAACTTCTGTCTATGTAATTTATAATCTTATTACTTATTAGCGATGTACTCATCGACATTGTTCCTGTTAACAGGCTCAAATTATGATGCATAAGTACATTTAAGTTATATTTATGTAATTTGTAATCTTATTAATTTTTCAATTAAACTGTTGTTGTACAGATGTCATTGTATTTATATTGTATTTACTTATTCCATATCCTGTGGTGTCTACCTGTATCTGGATTTATGGAACATAAATAAATTGAACAAAAAAATCCTTAATAGCTCCTGTTGCAGCAGCAGTTTAGTCACTTGAACAGTCGTATGCTTGACCACCCCCCAAGTTGAAGCCTCTTTTATTTCCTGTTTTGGGGTGTGCCTCTCCCAGTGTTGTGAACATTGCATTTTAGTGATTTTGTATGACTTCTGACTGCTGGATTCGGAACACATGCCACTGCTTGAATTTGTGTGCCCAAGGAAAGAAACTGTTGTGGCTCGAGGCACATGGTTTAGCAAATCTCTCCAGAATTCTAGATGATGTTCTCTCTCCTCCTGTCTCTTCCTCTCATAAGAGAGGTTCACAAATGGGTGGAAGGGTCATTTGCTTTCCAAAGCTGTGGATAGTCCATTTGTGATTTGGTTATTCTGCAGTTGGATAATTAACATCACAGTTGTATAACTCTTTTCAAAATGTTTTATTTTAGTGTGGAACAAGTAATTCTTCAAAACTGGAACCACCCAAACCAACAACACATGACATGATCGGTCCACCAGACCCCATATCAAATCTGCGGCCAGTTGCTTATCATGTACCAAGAAATGAGCATGAGATTGAAAAGGAGTTCCGTGTACGTAGAGAAGAAGTTCAGAAATGGAATGAAACCTTTTGGACTAAACACAACAAAAGTTTCATTAAGGTACAATTAAGATTGTGTTACATGTAGATAGAATGGTAGAACAGGAGTAAATAAGTATGTTTTGCAATATTTTTCAACTAGCACAACTTTTTATTAACCCATTCACTGCTAATAACATTGAGATTCTCATGGCAGTGAGTGTCTCCTACCCTGAAGATAGAGGCATCAATAACAATCTACCAGGTTACACAGCATCTCATTCCAGAAGACAGTTGTCTCCGGTCAAATTAGTTGTATAGGCGTTTGCCACTCGCTGTATATGTTCGTGTGTCACATCAAAAAACAACTTCAAAGGCTACAGAACTTCACATACAAGAAACAGAATTTCACCTAAGGTAGTTATGTTAAGTCCATTAACACTGAAGCATTTTGTTGAAGTTATTGGGTCTCCAGCCTTGCTAGCTTTAGTTGGTTTGTGTCACCCTTCCTGTGTGACATGAACCCACATTAGCTCTCCCACCTCATGTCCTTCCTGATATCTAACTCATGTGTTGCCTGTCTAATATGCTTCGTTTACCCATCTCTGGAAGTATGATAGGGCTGACTGATGTGCATGAACACTGTCTCTTGTTATAGTAGCCCTGATGTAAGGTTCTGGTAAATTCTGTTTCTTGTTTGTAATTTTATTTATAATTGTATTTTCTAAAGGTATGTTTTGGCAAAGCTGTTAAGGTTACTGCAGTTAGAGAGCGTTTATTGCATGTGCAAGAATGGTGATTAATTTTGTATTTTCTAGGGACACAAAAAGGTAAGTTCTTTATTTTGGTTCTGTGGCAAGGTAAGCTTAGCTTATTTTGTATGAACCAGTGTTGTTTTAACTTGGTTTGCTTTGTTCTGGAAATTTTTTCTTTTGTTTTTGTAGTTTATTCAGTTTCATGTCAATTGAAAGTCAAGTCATGTTCCATACAAATACACTAATTGTCATGCCATACATGTAACATTTGGTGGATCCTTAGCTACTTTCAGAGAGAGGAACTTTTCCCCCTCTACACTTTATATATTTTGGCAAATAACCATGGCCTCCTGTGCTCCAGATCGTTTGGGACACACCCATATAGTAGCCAAAACTAAGAGGAGGAATAACACTTCATTAATAAATCAATTTACCCTCATGTAATTAAAAAAATATTGGGAATAAGGATTTGAGTCACACCCAATATCTCTACTGCAATAGCTGCACAGTGCTTTAACAGCTGTGGCTACTGTACACATTCGTAAGAGTATGGAGTAAATTTCATAATAGCTTTGGGTGTTCTGTACAAGTATGTGTATGCACTTACAGTGTCTGAAGTTGACCAACAGACTTCCAATGAAGAATGTAACAGATTCTATAGCTGAAGGGCTGGATTAGGGGCTGCAGATGTTTTGCCCACTCAGAAAGAGGCCAACACAATACTTTTATGTATTTTTAATAAGTGGAAACAATATGCATAATGAGTATCTTTTCTCAGCACATTATAATATCAGATGATGCTGCTTAAAAATCTATATACTAAAAATAATAATATAGTTTACAGTATCTCCATGGCCTACATCTAGTCTGTGGGCCATAGTTTATCTGTCCCTTAACAAAGGTAATTATGTTTAACAGGAACGCAAAGAATTTATTGCTGCCAACCTACCACCAAATGAATCTGCAGGAACAGGAAAACAAACTTTGACTGCTGATGAAATGTCTGTATTCTATAAAACTTTTCTTGACAAGAATTGGAAAGTTCATGTGCAATACAATGCTGAGTGGTACTGGAAGAATATTGGACTAGTTATCTTTGCTTTGAGAGTTAAAATATTTAAAATCAAGCAAAGGCTCATGTCAGATTCACAGTAGCCATCGGGTACATCATTCCGACAACTTTGTTGAAAGACCACATCATAGATTGTGGCATTGTGAGTGTCTCCTAGAGAATATGAGTCTAAGAATGGTGATGCTGCTTGTACAATGAGCTCACAGGCTGAATATCCAACCCATGATAATCTCAGAACATTCTGGAGTACTGTTTAATAATACTGTTTTGACAAGTTGTGATCAAGTCAAGGTTTCAGATAAACAACGTGGAACAGTGAATATTTCACAGAGCACATAACAGTAGCACTTCCGTATGCTTAGGGCAGAGTCTTGCTTCTTTTTGTGGTTGCTTGTAGAATGCCGCTTCTCCATGCTTCATTATAAGAATGCTGATGTAGCAGTAATGTTATAGACTTGTACTAGGGAGGCACAAAGTTCAAATTTATGTTGGGCCACTGGGTATCTTGAGAGGTTTTCATAGTTATCTTCAGTCCCTCCAGCTTAATACCAGGATTGCGCTTTGATTGGGCCCAGCTGCTTTCTTCCAGACCCTTTCCAATTTACTATTCATCTACTATCCTGTCAGTAAGTGCCGTATAGCATAGATGCTAGCAGCACCATAAGTAAATCACAAAGAAAAGAAAGGTTCGTAGGAAGTCTTGTGTGAATGAGAGTTTCTGCCGTCTTGCTGTACCAGCCATCTCATTAAACACTGTTACCACATTACCGACACTGTCAGTGAATATAGTGCAAAGGAAATACTGCAAACTGCTGCATTTTCTTTTTATAGCATTGCAGACTGAATCCTGAGGATAGGGACAGTGATTAGTATGAAATGTCAGAATGTTAAAGGTAAAGGTAAAGTCCCTGTGCTTAAGCACCGCGCTGTGAAGATATATGGGGGAGTGTCCACCATTCTTGACCTCAGCATTAAATGGAGAAGAGTGGTCAGCCACTTGACCCGCAGGGAAAGATCCCCTGGTACCCATTGGATAGGAGGTTTGGTGGGCCCCAGAACCAGTCTGAATATTGTGGAAAGGAGAAAAATCTCTGTCCCACCAGGAATCGAACCCCAACTATCCACTCTCTACTCTGTCACTATACTGACTGAGCTATCACAGCTCTGAAATGACAGAATGTAGCCAATCGTAACAAAATTATCACCCTAAAGAACCATTTAATGCAGTTTTTTTCATCTTGCTACCTCCAGACAAAGTATGCCCTCTCCACAAGATAAAGTGTTGCAGTAGAATTGTTAGCTCCTCCACTTTATATCTGGAAGTTCGTCAGTTCAGTTCTTAATTCAGGGGCTATTGTTCAGAAATCCGAGGAAAGAGTAGCTGGACGGACCTATTCAAGACGACCTGGAAAATGTTTGTGTGTGGCAGGACATAAGAATTTTGGGTGTAAAGAACTGGAGGAATGTAGCATCGAATAGAGGAGAATGGTGAGCAGTCCTGAGGAAGGCCAGGGCTCACAAAGGGCTGTCGTGCCAGTGATGATGATGATGATGAGTTATCACAGTTATGAGTTTCCTCAATCCCTCCATTCCATGAGTGCTTCCTTTTGTATTGTAATTTATCATTTGCGGTCTTCTTTCCCAGTTAAAATTGAGGCCTTCTGGGATGTGACATCGTGTAGTTTGGTTGGTTGGTAGGTTGGTAGATGGAGGCAACAGTTTCCCCCGAAGTGCTGGTACCCACCCATGAAGCTACACAGTTTCACACCCCAGAAGATCATGATCCTAAAATACACCACTGTGAGAACCTCACATCTCATGTGCTCCCACTTGACACTATATAATTTGTGAAGGTGATAAACAGTCCAAACATCTGTCTTTCCATTTCACAGCTTCTCCTAAATGATGCTTCCTAGGGAAAAACAGTATGACAAAAATAGTTTCTGGAATTGCAGTGCGGATTATTCTACACAGGAATGCTGGTAACTGGATAAATTAAGAAATAAGCTCATATTTCAGCATCCCGTTGTATTGAGGCATCATCCTATTTTTTACTAATGTATCCGTCAGTAATACAACTTCAAAAAGACATTAGGAATATGTTGTTCACTAAAAATGCATTTTAATATTATGATAGTTCAAATCAATAAAATGCCCGTAGGCCTTTACATAAATTTACACATTAAAAGTGAACCCGAGGACCACATAATGAGTGAGGCAGACAAAGCGTTCGCAGATATCTTAGAAGAAACGGCTATAAAAATCCAGCTGCTGCTTGGAGGACAGAAGAAGGTAAACGAAGCCCTCTGACAGACTCTAGAAACCATGGGCCGTGCTCCTAGCCGGCAGGGCCTACAAAATGGGCTCTAGGACTTTCTGGGGGAGCCGATCACCCCCACCAGGAGAAGAGACGCAAGAAGATCAGCATGCTGGAACTGTGGCGAGCCAGGCCACTTTCAGAGTGGGTGCTGCTAGGGAAGGGAGGAAGGAAAGGACGACCGGCGCCATAAACGTGACGATAGGCCTCCGAGAGACACATAGGAACCGCCAAGGAACTTCGAATGGCTACCTAGTAAAAACAGGTAAGCAGACAGGATGGATGGCCAATCATCGGGGAATGGCACAAAAGGGCAGATGCTTCATGTACATTGAGGCCACACCGTGACGCATCGACCATCATTACGGAAGGGGCCAACCTTAGCCTGGTGACACAGGGATGGGTCGGTGACTAACCATGTCTCGTGACCGTGGTTTCGGGGCGCACGTGACTGTGGCCAGGAGAAACATCGCCTTTGGGTGGCTTGAAAGACAGCCAAATCAACGTTACATTATACAGAGAGTGTCTGGGGAAACTCCCCATCTTAAACGAAATTTTCCTGATATGGCCCAGGGACGGCGCTCACTGAAAATTGGGTTATTCGTTGCCAGTGTAAGAAATGGGATCATATTGAGGCTGGGCATCCTGCGCCATATGATGCATTTGTGGACCTAGGGTGCCAAACCGATTCGCCAACAACTGAGGAGGCTCCCCCTATCAACACAGGTGGAGGCAAGTGAAATGCTCGAGGACATGAAATGACGTGGTGTTATCATAGAGTCAGTCAGCCCCTGGTCATCCCCGTCATTCTTGTCCGGAAGAAGAACGGCAACCTGCGCTTCTGCAGAAACTACAGGAAACTAACCGATGTCACAAATAAGGGCTGTTTCCCACTGCCCGAGATTGATGACAGTCTAGACTCGCTGGCTGGAGCCAAAGGGTTCTCCACTCTCGACCTGAAGAGCGGGTATTGGCAAGTGGATCTACACCCTCACCAAGCCCTTTGGTCCCTCCAACATTCCAATGAAAATTGATAGGTCAGTGGAGGCCATCTTAGGCATCGCGACTCATGCATCATGTACCTGGACGACGTGATCGTGATTGGCCTACGTTCCTAGAGCACCCTCTCAACCTGCGGACAGTGTTCCAGCGACTTCGCAGAAGCCCGCCTAAAGCACAATCCGGAGAAGTGCCAACGTTTTCAGAATGAAGTATGTTGACTCGGGCAAATTTGTTTCACCTGAGAGGATAACCACAGACCCCGAGAAGCTGAAAGACCGTACGGGAATGGCCGATCCGGAAGAATAAGCACAAAATTAAAAGCTTCCTTGGCCTATGCACATACTGCAGATGGTTTATTTCCGGTTTCGCGAACATTGCGAAACCGCTGACCAAACTCACGGTGGAGAGGAAAGCCTTCCAATATACACCAATAGTTGAAGCCTCCTTCCAAACACTAAAGGAGGCCCTCTCTACTGCCCCTATTCTTGCTTACCCGCGGCAAAAGAGAGGTTCATCTTTGACGTAGATGCAAGTATCGTCGGGGTTGGAGGAGTACTCTCCAAAGTACAGCACGGACAGGAGCGACTAAGAGCCTACTACAGTAAGACGCTAAACGAGGCCGAGAGAAATTACTGCGTCTCCCGACGGGAAGTACTTTCAGTCATGAGGACACAGGGACATTTCCGTAAGTACCTCTACGGACAAGCGTTCCACTTGCTGACCGACTTGCGTTAACCTGGCTCATGAGTTTTAAGAACCTCAAGGTACAAACCACCCGCTGCGTTCAGCGCCTGTAAGTGTACAACTTCACTTCCGCACACCGTCAAAGACGAAAATACAATAATGCCGATGCTCTTTCGCGACAGCCATGCCAAGATGTGTGTACCCACTGCCACAAAATCGACACGAGGACTGAGGTCAACCAGATACGAGCTTCTGCAGCTGTAGCCTTGACCGGCTGGGATCCAGCCGCTCAGAGAACAGAACAACTAAACGACCGACCAGGACATACGAGTATATCCCATTCAGGAGGGGGTAGAGGGCGAACGGCGCCCAGAATGGAAAGACATCGCCGACCTCCGCCCCACGTACAGAATCTGCTTGACCCAGTGGAAATCCCTCGCCGTGAGGAACGACATATTAGATCGCTGCAGTAATGCGCTGATGGACGATCTAAAGTAGCCCAGATCGCTCTTCCTCGGAGCACAGTTAACGACATGTTGACTGAACCACATGATGGTCAGGAGGTCAATTGGGTGTCAACAAGACCCTGAATAAGGTCCGGCAGAAGTACTATTGGCTCCAGGTAAGTACCCCTGTTCAGAATTGGTACAGGCAGTGCTACACCTGCGCAACCAGTCTCAGTTCCCGGACCAAAAATCGGGGCCCCCTTCGAAAGGATGTAGCAGGGCCCTTCTCACAGAGCGACCAAGGAAACTGATACCTCCTTATCGCTATGGATTATTTTACAACGTGGCCGGAAGCCTACGCCATTCCCAGTCAAGAGGCTTCGGCAGATGCGGACGCTCTGGTTATCAACTTCTGCCGCTTCGAAGTACCGATAAAACCTTACATCTGCTGCAGAGGAATTTCCACTACCTAATTATGCAAGACGGAGTCATGGCGAGTCAGCTTCACGTCCCTGTCGCTTCACACCCGGGGAAACGTCACCCAGAGCACATTGTAAAGGAGACTGGGTGGGCCCCAGAACCGGTGTGGCTATGATGGAGGGAGGAAAATCTCTTCTCCCTGCCGGGAATCGAACTACGTTTCCTTGGTCATGGCTCGGTATAGTGTGCAGTGGTGGGTTCTTGTAAACAGCGTAATTAACCTTGGAGTTCCATAAAGGCCAGAGACTTTACTGACAAGCTAAGCGACTGCCAGCTTCTCTGCTGGATGGAGTTTGTTTTCGGGGAGCTGCGTAATTACCAGGGCAGTAATTTCGAGTTTCGTCTGATACAGGTTTTGCAACGCCTGGGGGCGAGCAGGACGCGCATCACGCCCCTGCACCCG